AAAAACGTCGACCCGAAATACTTACCTGCAAAAAAAGGAAAAGGTTCACCGAGTGATGTACACATAAAGACATGGACCCTCGTAGAGTGCCGCTATACTCCATTCTAGAGTATGTTTTGCACCTCAAACATAGTGCGCTTTCCCTATCGTTGCTGAAGGTCCACTTAGCGGCCACATGGCCTCTTTATACCTCCTTCCTGGCCTCTTCTTGTATGCAGCAGGTCACCTGGTCAGAGGCCAATCTCTGTGTTTCCTGCTGGCTGCTCTCAGGTGACAGCCCCCATTCTTTGGGTGTGTCCTTGGCCCATCAAGTGCCATTGTCCCACAGGGCCTGGCTAATCAGTCTGTCCATAGCCATGCTTAACCACATTCAGAGAAATATTCAGCTTCCACACAGATTACAGATTCCTACCTACACACATAGACATTATACACTCACATAAATAGCGTACATAAGATCAACAAACGATAAGCTCCCATTCAATACCCCACATGGCTCCATTTTATACCAATTTCTGGGGCCAACACCCCCACCTATGGGTGCAGCAGCGATCTGGCTGCTTCCCTCCAATTCGGTAATGTAACAAGGTCCATAAAAGGCTATTAGCCAGGGGATAGAATTGGTGTCCCTGGCCTCTATTTGTCAGAGGCTGGAGAAGGATGGCATGAGACAAATCGCTTGATCATTATCTTCGGTCCACCCTCTCTGGGGCACCTGGTGCTGGCCACTGTTGGCAGACAGGATACCGGGCTAGATGGACCTTTGGTCTGACCCAGTACGGCCGTTCTTATGTTCTCATATGTTCTTATGTTCTTTACAGCCCTAGACCAGAGACCTTCCCAAACAGGTCACAAACTGGTCACACCGTGCAAAACCCCTCAGACACCTCAGCTCCCCCTGTGCCCCAATGAGCACCAGGCCTAACACACAGGTGAGGGGTTACAGTATCCAATCCCACTGAAGCCCGGGAAATTCAAATCCCGGGCTTCATTAGCAAGTGCGGTATGCATACATTACCCCGCTAGTTCGAACTCGCGGGGTAGTGTAGACATACCCATAGTTAGTTAGTTTGTTGTTTAAAAAAAAATTTTTTCTTTTGTCGTTATAATTACTGAGGGCTGCTCCGACCAGCCCCTCAAGTTATTTCTTCCCCCGAAGACCTCTGCGCTAAACATGCCCGGCTCTCCTGGCTTGAAAAAATGTGCCTCGTGCAGCGACATCATTCCGGCCTCTGATGGCCACTCCCGTTGCATTCACTGCCTGGGAGAGGGCCACGTCCCCCAGAAATGGGGTCACTGTTCAAAGTTGACTGCTCGGGCGAGACGGGATAGAGAAATGCGCCTGAAGATGTTACTCTTCAATAAGGCGCTTCAGCCCCTGTCAGCAGAAGAACAGGAAGCTCCAGTCCCACGTAAGTCCAGGGATGGAAAAAGCTCCGCTCCGCCTAGGAGCCTAAGTGCAGGAGAGGCTCATTGGGCTTCCCTCCCAGACAGGGAGCGGACAAGTCAACCAAAGTCTGAAGTACATCGGCGTCTAGCCCCGCACTTTCAGTATTCTCGGTACCGCCAGGTCATCCAGAATCGGCATCATCATCTGCGGCACCAAGTCTCCACGTGGCACCAACTCACCCGGCACCATTGGTACATAACGGACCGGACCAGACGTCCAGGGCAGAGTCGGCACCGACAACCGATCCCGCACTGAGAGCTGGCACTGAAGACTAAGTCGGCACCAAGAGCCGAATCAGCGCAGACAATGGAGCCAGCACCGAGAAAGCACTCGGCACCCAGATCAACCCAGCCCCATTCAAGACCTAGGGACGCGGCTCCGCATTGCATACAGGGCACACCCGCGCCTGCCCGCACCGACCACCCAATGCATGCGAACCGACCGGCACCGCCCGTCGTTTCAGCTCCAGTCCCTGTGGTCCAATAACCCGGTGGCTCAGGGGAGGATACAGCACCAGCATCCCCACCCTCTGCACCTAGGTCACCACGCCTCTTGGGGGAAGTCTCCGACTCTGCCTCAGTCATTTCGATCCCTGGTAGCCCAATCCCCATGGCTCCCCCATCCATGAGAATACCGACTAAGGCGCAAAGGAAGACTCACCATCCCCGTACGCCTTCCCCCAGTCCCGACAGGGCGGCATTTTCCCCTGAGCCATCACTCTCTCCTTGTCAAAGACGATGGCACTACTATTATGGACACTCTCCCACACACCATTACTGCAGATCTCCAAAGCAATCTATCACACTGCCACGTTACCACCACACATACTACTCGAGATCTCCATGTCGTCATTCCCATCGCTCACGACCTCCTCGATCGCGTTACTATCATCATAGGAGCGCTTCTTCTTACTCTCCTACATTCTTACCACCTCGAAGAATGACAGTTACTGCACTGGAGGTGAATAACTTCTCTTTCTCCATCCAAACATCAATGGGTTGCATCTGACAGCGTGGCTCCTAACTGGCTCCAAGGGCTAGAACTAACCTGCTCCCAAGCAGTCAAAGACGTGTTGGTACAAAGCAGGAGGCGCAGACCACTCAGAGGTCCTACCTCTACAAGTGGTGTCGCTTCTATACCTGGTGCCACTCACAGGCCATTGATCCTCTCTAGGCACATATCAAATGCATCCTAGACTATATACTCCACTTGCATTCGCAAGGCTTGGCAGTCGCTTCCCTGAGAGTACATTTGGCAGCGATTTCGGCCTTTCACACTCCGATAGAGGGTTTTTCCGTCTTCTCGCATCCACTCACAAAGAGGTTCTTTAAGGGTATTTCCAATCTCTACCTACCACACAGGCCTACCCCAGAACCATGGGACCTTACCTTTGTACTGGACACTCTTACTCGCCCACCGTTTGAACCACTCGCAACTTGTGACTTACAGACTCTCGCTATTAAAGTTGCCTTTCTCCTCACGATCACCTCGGCCCGCCGAATTTCCGAACTCGCTGCACTCTCCGCCGATCCTCCCTACACATTATTCACTCAACAGGGCATCACGATGAGATGTCACCCAGCATCCATTCCAAAAGTTAATTCATCATTCCACGTCAATGAGCCTATGGTTTTTCCTTCCTTCTACCCCAAGCCACACCTTCTACCCCAAACCACACGCTACGCCCGAGGAAGCGCGCTTACATACATTAGACGTCAGAAGGGCTCTTGCATTCTACTTGGACAGAACGTGTCCCTTCCGGAAGTCCTCACGATTACTATGATCAGTGGCGAACCGTTCTAAAGGTCATCAACTGTCATCACAACGTATATTGTTGCATACCGTTAACTGCATCACTTGCTGCTACACACTTAGGGGCAGGCCTCTGCCCTGTGCACCAACAGCACACTCAAGCAGGAGCATGGCTACTTCCACAGCATTCCTGAAGAACGTCCCGCTACAAGACATATGCTGCGTGGCAACCTAGTCGTCGTTATCCACGTTTGCTAGACATTATGCCCTTGATCGTCTCAGAGCTACGGACATAGCAGTCGCTCAAGCAGTTCTTTCTTCTGTACACAGATAATTCCAAAGCACGATCAGCCGTTTGGATTACTGCTTCATACTCACCTATAGTGGAGCACCCACAGGGACATCACTCGAAGAAGAAGAAATTGTTACTCACCTTGTGCAGTAACATCTGTTCTTCGAGATGTGTGTCCCCGTGGGTGCTCCATGACCCGCCCTCCTCCCTGCTTCAGAGCTCTTTTATTTCTCTTTTTCAAATGTTCCGGCTAGAAGGAACTGGCGCGTCGGACCGCATGACACAGAAAAGGTGCGAACAGCGTGGGACACCTCTGCGCATGCGCGGTCCTCCAGAGGGGGCTACTGCTGGCAAAAACTTTCTGGATTGCGGCGCCGGGACAAGCCCGACACCTATAGTGGAGCACCCACAGGGACACACATCTCGAAGAACAGATGTTACTGCACAAGGTGAGTAACAATTTCTTCCCCGAGCACAAACAACCCCCCAGATCCTTGGAATCTCGAATTGGTTCTAGATACACTCATGACACCTTTCGAACCATTGTCCACGTCCAATTTTGACTCTCTCACCATGAAGGTTGTGTTCCTGCTGGCAATCACATCTGTACGCAGGGTATGAAAACTGGCAGCCTTGTTGGCATCACCTCCTTATATGGTTTTCACGGCACAGGCAGTCATCCTATGACCACAACCAATGTTCTTACCCAAGGTCAATTCCAGCTTCCATATAAATTTTACCCATGTTCTACCTTAGACCACACTCCTCTGAATGCCATGCTAGACTCCATTCACTAGACGTCCATAGAGCACTGGCATTCTATATAGAAAGAACTCGTAAAATTCTCATAAAAAACACTAGATGACTGCACCAAATGCCGTCCGTTATCATCTCAGCGAATATCTAAGATAATTGTGTCGAATTAACTTTGTAGTGTAGACATACCCTAAGATAATTGTGTCAGGCATCACCAAATGCTACCAAATGAGAAATGTCACAGTACCCCATATGATCAAGGCCCATTCCACCAGGGCAGTAACATCCTCAACAGCCTTCCTTAAAGGGGTCCCTATGAAGGACATTTGCCAAGTGGCAACGTGGTCTTCTGAACTTATGTTCCTGAACCATTATGCACTTTCCAGAGTTATCACCTCCGACAGCAGTAGCCAATGCCATCCTCTCTTTGGAGGCACCACACTGACTCTGACCCTCCTCCTTAGGTCAGCTACTGCTATAGAATCACCCACAGTGGAGCACCCACTGGGATACTACACGAAGAAGAAGTTACTCACCTTGTACTCCATGACCCACCTAATCGCCCACAGTGGAGCACCCACAGGGACACTACATGAAGAAGAAGAAGAAGTTCCTCGCCTTGTGCAGTAACGATGGTTCTTCAAGGTGTGTGTCCCCGTGGGTGCTCCATGACCTGCCCTCCTCCCTTCTCTGGAGTCTCTTGTTTTGTCTTGCAGATCTCGATGGTCGGGAGGAACTGGTGGGACGGTGCAAAAAGCTGCAAGATGGCCGCTGCGCATGCATGGTCCAGTAAACAACAGCTAAAACATCTCCGAACTGTGGTGCCGAGACGAGCCCAACACCCACCGTGGACCACCCATGGGGCGACACACCTCAAAGAACCATCGTTACTGCACAAGGTGAGTAACTTCTTCTTCAGGGTGTAAGAAGGGGCTCTGGGTTGAGGTGGGAAGTTGCAGTGCGGAAGACTGAGGGCTCCAGCTGGAGAAACAGGCACTGATGTGGGGCTGGAGATGAGGAATTTCGGATGCAGGAAGGGACTCCGAGTTGGGATTGAGGGGCTGGGAGGAAGGGAAGGGGATCATGGCTGGGACAACAGGTTAGGGTGCAGAAGAGAGTGAGGACTCTGGCTGGGGGGGGGGTGGGCTCTGGGTTGAGACTGGAGATTGAAGAGAGTGAGGACTCTGGCTGGGGGGTGCGGGCTCTGGGTTGAGGCTGGGGATGATGGGTTTGAGGGTGCAGGGTGCTCTGGGTTGGAACTGAGAGATTCAGAGGGCGGGAAGGAGATCAGGGCTGGGACAGGTCAGTGGTGCTGACTGCAGCCACCAGGATCTCTTTTTCACAGGGTGTGCCAGTCAAAAACTAGACACCTGGTACCATATCACAGTCCCACCACGTAGCAGTTAAGGATGCTACCAACAGGGCTTTTGGCACAATCAGATTTCTGTGCTCTGATGACTGGGTTAGGAATAGGAGACCTTTGAATACTATGAAAGGAGAGAATTTGGATGATCCACTGACTTCTTGCAAATTTACCTTTAGAAAACTAAAAGTATCTAACTTTGTACAATTGCTTTGGCTCAATGAGACGTGGCTGATCTTCTCTTGCTCCTACTAAGTTTGCTCTTTGCTCTGTCCCAGAAATTGAAATGCCGAAAAAAAGACTTCCACTTTAATCTGTTCTAAACGAGCTGGACTTTCTTTAGTGATCCATGAGGTGAAGCCATTAACTGAACGTGGCAGCAGGTACCATTATATATGGCAAAATATATTGCACAAAAATATGATACATAGATCCAGCAGATTAAGACACACAAATTGATGGGTTACATGAGGTATTTTGCCAAAAAGCATCGTATGCAAATGTATGTCCATAAATCTATTTCAGAAAGAATGGTCTGGGGGGATGAAATTGTCACACCAACAGTTCTGCTCATTCCGGGGCCTCAGTCTGGGGTCTCTAGTGAATACATTCCTGGTCTCATGGCAGACTGGCCTACTGTACGTCTTGCCCCATTCCACTGGTCCACAAGGTTCTCCTCAAGCTCCGCAGGGACGGGGTGAATGTCATTCTGATAGCCCCAGTCTGGGTGTGTCCACACTAGCAACCCATCCTCCAGTACCTGTCAATTTGGCACTCCTTTCACCTTCCCTGGCTCCTAGACTTCATCACTCAGGACTGTGGTTTCCTTTGCCACCCAGACTTGTGCTCTTTCCATCTCACAGCATGGTGGCTCCCTGGCTGAATCCCATCGAACCCCATTCGTCTCACATAGCTGGCGAAATGGAAATGCTTCTTCTGTTGGGACCTCCAGCATAACATGAAATTCTTATTGGCCTCCATTCCCCAGGTGCTAGAGCAGTGATCTCCAACCTTTTTACACCCAAGATCACTTTTTAAATCTCAGAACAGGTGAAGATCTACCACCCCGCCCCTTCCTTGAAGCCCTGCCCCTTCCTTGAAGCCCCGCCCGCCCTCTCTGTTCTCCTCCTGTCCATCACTTGCTATCCTCAGCCCTTACTTACACACTCTGATAAATAGTTTATTTTTAAATTATGCGATACATAAAATTAAAATCAGGTGTTTATAGTTATGAAATAAATGGTCTGTTTTTTATTCATGCTATTTAAATCGAAAATGAAGCATTTATAAGAACAAGTTACTCACCCTGTGTAGTAACGGTGGTTCTTCGAGATGTGCCCCATGGGTGCTCCACTCTAGGTGTCGGGTCCATCCCGGCGCCACTGGTCGGAAGATTTCAGAGCCATCTTCGGCCGGTCTGTGCATGCCCCCTGCAGCGCGCGGCTTTCGCGCCTTTGATCACAAGCGCAGACTGGCCCCCCCGCCAGTTCCTCTCACCGCTCAATCCC